ACTCAAGTGTAGACCAATAAGAAAAATCTCGAATTAAATGTAATAATATATTTTTTGTTATTACGAACATTAGATTTTACGCACAAGTTGCGTTAAATCACAAAAAATAATAACTTGTAAATATTATAGTACGATTATAATGAGATTCGAGTCCGTTAAGTAGTTTATGACGAGCAAGGTTTGTTAGTAACAGTTTTAAGAGCAATGTAATTAGCTGTTTTCGAAAAATTTGCTATCGTTTTGATCAGTTGCTCATCCATTGAATTTATACATATAACAAAATAGTAAATACGCAAAATATACCTGAAATATTTTTCAAAAACAATGACTGTTTCGTGAAAAATTAAAACGGTATTGGACAAACTTGTAGTTTCGTTAGAATATATATATTATAAGCCACCAGCATCAAAATCGGTTAAGCCGCTTTCAAATTACGAGGAAACGTATGTTCGGACATACATAAATACATGTCAAATCGTAAAACTCACAAGTGTCTGTTTGTCTTTTCAAAAGCATGTCATTCGATTTTTTTTAATGGTTTAGTAGATCTTAAACTGACTTCCAAAATCTCTTTTGGAAGTCAGTTACAAACCTATTTTTGAATTTCATTATATATAAAACTTAACCAATAAAAATAAAACTATATTTCTTAAACATGTAACCTAGATATGTAAAGTATATATTTTCTACTTAGTTTTTATGTAAGTGAAGCGCGGTGTAATCCCGGATTTCACACATCTGAAGTTTTCATGTGGAATCTCGTTTTCAATATTTTATTTTGACTAGTTTATTACCCTCGCTCCGTTTCCGTGCTTTTTAAAAAGATATAATTTTTTCCGACTGCATGTATTCACCTTCTTTTAAAGTCCCACTGCTGGGCACGGGCCTCCTTTCAATACGAGGGGGATCATCAAGCCCACCACTGGCCAAGTAACTTCACATATCTTTCGAAAACTTGCTAGGTTTTCTTAGATATGCACGTTTCCTTACGATGTTTATCCTTCACCGTAAGGCAAGTAGTAATCATGTTAGAAATGATTCACACATGAAAATATCAAAACGCGCTTCACTCGGTTTCCCAAGCAAGCGCGTTACCACTGGGCTACCACTGCCTAGTACGAGTATAGTATATGCGATTATTCCCGACTAAATATATTATGATCACATCTGTACTTCACTTTTGCAATGTTAATAAATAATAGCTAAAAACAATGCAATACAAAATGTTTATATAAACTTCCTACATAATCAATCCTTCCTTCTACTGGTAAAACCAACTTGTACAGTTCTTTTAAAAAAAAAAATTATTATGCATTTTAAACAATATTGAAATTAATGACGACCTGTTCATATATTAAAAAATTAATAAAAATGTATTTATTAATTTTAAGGTATCTTACATCGTAATGGAATCGAAAAAATGTAAATGAAGGTGTTTCAATTAATTATTTAAATAATTGGGTAGTTGAGTTAACACCAATAATCAACTGACATACTTTTTATGAGCTGTCATCCGTTTCCCCATAGATTTTGTATAACAATCAACGGCGATGTTTCACCTCCGTGCCTCGGAGAGCACGTAAAGCCGCCGGTCCTGCGCCTTAACTCTCACCGGTCGTGTCGAATAGTCGTCTCATTGGAGTATGAGAGTGACAGGAATAGAGAGTGCACGTGTCTGCGCGTACACTTGAGCACTATAATATCTCCTGCGCAGTTGGCTAGTCTCAATGAGATTGGCCACCGTGGCCGGAATCGGCCAGGAGCACATAATTATTATAGCAATAAAGCGACCTGTGACAGGTTAAAATACTTTATTTTTATTTTAGCCCTGTCAACCCCTTTTCATGTGTGACACACATGAAAAGACGAGAAAACTACCCAATTATTTATATAATAATATTTAAACACAGTATAACAATCTGTTTTAACACTACCATTTTCACACGCTTAGTTTGACGTCACAAGCTTTGTTCTGTCATCTTTTTAAATGATTACCAAATTATTATTATATTGTCAAGGTTACAAAATTGCACTTATTAAATAAAAGATTGCAACAACAACATATTTTTGAACACTATACAAATTCCATTCAAATCACATAATATGACGGCGTATTAGTAAATCTGTGGTCATACTCGGAGCTTCTGACGTCATAATTTGTTTTAACAATAGTGATTCGAAATTTTGAAATTTTCTCGCATATTACGACTTTTAATGAATTTATATACATAACTAGATGACCAAAAACCAAATTCTTAGGTTTTACATATTAGTATACTCTTACAGTACAGTTTTTGTATTTTTTCTCAGAAATGAGATATTTTCCCGCGATAAGGAGTAACCTATGTGTTGACCCGGATAACCAGCTATCACCATACCAAATTTCATCAAAATCCCTCCAGTGGTTTTTCTGTGATGCCGTAACAGACAGACAGACAAAAATAATGATTATTTCAATAACATTTTCCAAACAATATTTAATGTACAGATTCAGCTTAGTTACAATTTTATTATATGTAAAGATTATGAAGAGATTAATTAATAAGTCAGTCGATACATGCGTGTTCCCTATTAGGAATCACTGTTTGTTTTATTCTGACCTTGTCTCAGAGTTTTTCGTCCTCTCTATGATGTCCTTCCTTCTAAAGTACCCCGTCCTATTACTGTTCATTATTAGTTAATGTTTGTCATTAGTTCATATGTAGAGTTGTACGAGTATGTCCGTTAATTCATACTTATGTGTATCATAGTGTCTACATATATCTATACTAATATTATAAAGTTTAAGATTTGATTATTCGTTTGTTTCTTGTTTGCAGTCACTAAGCTCTGGAACTAGTGAGCCTATTTTAATAATTCTTTTACCAATAGATAGCTAAATTAATCTAAATTGGTAGTGCTATTTATAGGCTATAAATTATATTTATATTGTTTTAGCTATATTGTCACTGTACTTGTCAAGCACCGAAAAAAAAATTACACGCAAAGACGCATAGGCTGACAAACACTGAGACGATCAGATTCTATACTAAGTTTCTCATTTTTAATATATTTTTAAATCTAGTATTTCCTATCTTCAAGTACTAGCCCATTTCGTTTATCATTCAACGCAATATCAGCCAAAAATATTTGCATAAGAACAAGTTATTGCTTATATGTGTTAAATCTACACTAATCTATACTAATATTATAAAGAGGTAAAGATTGTGAGTTTGTGGCATGTGTGTTGGGGGAAATCTCTATGAAATTTGGTAAGAAGATAGTTTGAGACCCTAGAAAGGACGTAGGATAATTTTTATCCCGGAAATAATCCCTTAAAGGGTGAAAATGAGGATGAAAGTTTGTATGGGGAATCAACCTAGGGACGAACCCGAGCGAAGCGAAGGTGAGTCGCTAGTATTTAGATAATTTGCATATATGTATAAAGGTATCAAATCAAATCTAATCATACTTTATACAAATAGAGTTTTACAAGCATTTTTGAATCGTTTATTTTTATATTTTTAATATTTAAATTAAATGAAAGTTTGTGAGAATACCGGCTTGGAAGGCAGTTCTGTTGAGAAGTCCCGGCAAAAAACTCGACAGTTATTCTTTTAAAATAAACTTTGTTAACAATATTGCAATACAGTAATTATTATCTACGTATCATACGTGAGACTCAACTAGAAATTAGTCCCATCTGTGAAATATTCTGTGTCGGAGTAAAAAGCTTTACTCAATAATAATATTTTATAATTTTTGTTAAATTGTTAAAATGGTAAGCTCATTAAATGGTATAGTTGTCGTTCACAATATGTTTTTGAGTTTTTTGGCGCTGTAAGAAAAATATTTTTTTAATCACGTAAACATACTTTACATTACTTAAAAATACTTAAAAAGCTGTAAATAAATAAATATATTATAAAATAAAAAAAATATATATATACGAGTATGTACATCTTGCGACAAGGATGAAACGTGTATGTCTCCGACTTCATAATACTATATTCCTTCGTGATCTTGTTTTAGTTATGCAGTCGGGTTTTTATTTTATGCAGTCGGGTTTTTTATTTTTATAATATATTTATTAATTTAATTTGTACCTTCAGTTTAGTACATTTCTCGTGCTATATTTGATAGATTTAGAAGTTGGCCTGTTAGTGAGTGGACCAATGCACAAACTCGGATCAAACTCTAAGACTACTCAGGCCAATCTTATTGCGTACTGATTGGACAACTTTGGCAAGCACTTGTATCTTGAGTAAGCGGATCCAACTTGAATGTCTGATCCATTCATGTAGTATATGCTGGACCAATCCACTGGTCAAAACATCAGTTACAACCGGTTCGAATGCTTTTAAGGTTTTTTGTACAGACTGCAAATAGTAAGCCTTAATGTAGGTATTATGTAAGGGACAAATTATTCTATTATATTCCAATATTAATCGTATAAATAAATAATATGTTGGTACATTAACACACAGTACCATCTAGTTCCATGGTAAGCTACACTAAGGTTTGTGTTATGGATACCAGATAGTTGATACACTACACAGATATAACTTTAAATACATACGTGCTATAAATATAAACACCCATGACTGGAATACAAACATTCGTGCTCATCACACAAATGAATACCCCTAGCGGGACTCGATCCCACGACCGCTGGTACAGCAAGTAGGGTCACTACAAACTGAGCCAAACGTGTCGTATACTTAACGATATTGAATTACGATGGAATGGACTTAATGGCGAATATTCTTTGAACACCTTAAAACCTTAAAGAGTGTGTTAGAAGTCATGTTACAAAATAAATATAAACTCTTTTTTTTAATTTTAAACTTCATCTTATTGTCTCTAGAATTGAAAAAGCTCAGTTTTCATACAAACAACAAACGTTGTTATTGACAGTATTACATATTAAATCAATAATATCGAAATAATCCAAAATACTATATGTTCTTTTACATTTATTCTTACACACTACATATAAGTCCTTATATTGAATTATGTCATTGCACAGTCTCTTTTGTGTCGCCAGACACAACTACTTGCTTCATCGCTTCTTGTTTTCTAAGTTTTGTTTCCCGACGATGCCGTGTAAAGAGCCACCTGGGAACAGAAACTTTGTAACTATATTTATAAGTCTTGAAAGTAAAGTGAAAATATTATCATTCGTAGTAAATTCTTTTGAATGTATATATTTTTTTAAATTGTTGTACAATTTTTTTTTAGTATGAGCTTAGTGAGCTATTGAGTAAAGATAGAAAAGGGTATGTGGTAAAGTTTGAGAACGATTTTCGTTACATGTAAGAACTATATATACATATTTCTTTCAAGTCAACCAGATAGAGAAAATATATATGTCGGAATACTGCGTTTTGGAATCGGAAGAAAAAAATGCTTAAGCACCTTAAAAGTAAATTTTTTGTTGGCTTAATAGTACAGTGCAATTAGTCTAAAAAACAGATCCCGTTCACTTTAGCAAGATTATGCATGGAACCATTTTTGTTAACTATTTATTGTAGATTATTTTTGTATATGACACTTTTTGCGCTAAACCTAATAGTTTTCGGAATTTTTAAGAAAAACTGCTGAAAACTACTAATTTGCCAACTTATAATCCCCTCCTACCCTAAACCCGTCGCTCAAAATGGTGTAACTTTTTACCAAACATATTGTTTGGTAAAAAGTTACACCTACACACCTACAATTATGGACTATATAGAACAACTAGCATTGCCCGCGGCTCCACCCGCGTCCAGATGACCAAAAACCAAATTCTTAGGTTTTACATATTAGTATACTCTTACAATGCAGTTTTTGTATTTTTTCTCAGAAATGAGGTATTTTCCCGCGGTAAAAAGTATCTTATATGTTGACCCGGATAACCAGCTATCATCATACCAAATTTCATCAAAATCTGTCCAGTGGTTTTCTCGTGATGCAGTAACAGACAGGCAGACAAAAGTTCTAAAAACCATAGATTCGGACTCTGCATCGATAATAATGTCTATTTCAATTATATTTCCAAAAAATATTTAATGTACAGATTCGACTTAGTTACAATTTTATTATATGTAGAGATTTGGAGCTGGAGGGAAACTTTTACTTTGGATGTTGAGGTTTGGGTCTAATTGCATCGTACTATAAGATAAAAGGATATTATGACCTGAGGGACGTGAATGTTGTCGCGTTTAGAATTTCAACGACGGGCACTGAAAGTACGAGAAAGAAATCATTACTTTCATAGGTATAGCCTTTTTTTTTTTTTTTTAACGTTGGGAAATGCATTTACGCACGACGTGTGGGACTCACCGGCGTAATACATTATACGCCCTTAATTTCAATTTCTTAGATTAGGAGAAAGCACGCTGTAAGAAATTGTCAAACAGACATATTATGAATATTTTATTTCTCATTAAATCTCGTTACAAATTTGTATAAATATAAAAAGCAAATATGTATAAAATAAACGAGGAGTCAGTAATATATTATGATGAATAATAAAGATAAAAAGTATATATATACTACATATGCTCGTGTAGGGTTTTAATATTTCACCCAAAAAGTTTTTATACCAAATACATTTTATAACTGTAAATAATATTAATTAATCATTAGAAATTTTAGTGCATTTCTACGTACCTTTTGTATTTATAATATTACTAGCGACTTACCCTCGAAAATCCAGAGGCAGACCCAAAAATATATAGAAAGATGTAGTATCAAAGGACATGAAAAAGTGCAGGCTTTCCGAAAACGATGTCTCCGATAGAGCGAAGTGGCGAAGAAAAATAAGAAAGGCTGACCCCATCACCATGTGGGATACATAGCCAGGAAGAGAGAGAGAGAAAGAGGGAGAGACTTACCCTCGCTTCGCTAGGATGCATCCCGAGTTGCGTATCAGTGGCCTACGGCTTATGTACTCCATAGTCATCTGTGTATTAATTTTATCTAAATCCGTCCAGCCGTTTTAAGGTGAAGGACAAACAGACATACACACGTAAAAACTTTCATAATTATAATAGTAGTCCGATGCACAGATAGTGCTACTTTTTAGTAAATTTTATTTATATCCTTTGCACACACATAACTTACATCAAGATTCCTAAAGCAGGAATGGTCATAATACCGCTAAAAAGGTATACAGTTCCAGTGAAGAGCGATACGGTCTTCGCATATACCGTAGAGTAAGTGGGATCGAATACAAGGGCAGCGAGTGTCTCGACCAGACTGAAGAGTGAGTTCATTTTTCCTGGAAATAAAAGATTAGCATTAATATAGCTATGTAGGATACAATAAGATTTTATAAATAACTAATCAAGCCTCTTTGCTTTGCTAAGGTTTTATACTTTTTTTGAGGGGAAAAAAAACTTTAAGAAGTGGAAATTTTAGTGCTTTTTTGTGCAGGTTTTAATGAAATCTTATTCTATAATTTTATAATGGAACATTGAAAGCAGTTATTTTTAATAGGTTTTTGACTGTTTAGATTCACCAAGAGTAGTAAGTAAACAGTATAATAAAATAATATAGAGAAAATAAAATGAAAGTGCGTCTACCTATTTCTTCAGAGCAGACCAACTTCGATGCCAATGACCTGAGGGACGTGAATGTTGTCGCGTTTAGAATTTCAACGACGGGCACTGAAAGTACGAGAAAGAAATCATTACTTTCATAGGTATAGCCTTTTTTTTTTTTTTTTTTTTAACGTTGGGAAATGCATTTACGCACGACGTGTGGGACTCACCGGCGTAATACAGCCAGTACTACCCACTAAAACCCAACAAAACCTTCCCCCGTCTTAATGGGGCGTCGCAGGATCGCTTACGCATTCAACTACGACGCCCCGACGGCAGGTCTGCCGAAGCAGACCACCACAACCATGGGGTTGCTCCACAGTCCACTCTGCTATCAGAGAAGTACCAGGAGCAACCCGCATGGTACACCGACCCCCGAAGAGGGCCACCGCCCACCGCCCACCGAAGTGGGCAACCTCCCTGTGCGTTTCTTAGCTTCGCTACTGCTACTGAGCCCCCCCACCACGTTCATAGGTATAGCCTTGAATTATGACGGCTTTAACAAGACTAAGGTAGAATGAAGCCTGAATTCATTATTAGAATTGTCTAGACTTGTTGTGTTTCTTGACGACTCGTTTGGCTCAGTTTGTAGTGACCCTACTTGCTGTGCCAGCGGTCGCGGGTTCAAGCCCCGCTGAGGGTATTCATTTGTGTGTGATGAGCACGAATGTTTGTACTCCAGTCATGGGTGTTTATATTTATAATGTGTATTTAAAGTTATATGTGTAGTGTATCGACTACCTGGTATCCATAACACAAGCCTCGTAGCTTAACCGTGGAACTAAATGGCACTGTGTTAATGTCCCAAATATAAACGTGTGTAAGCAGTAAATAAAATAACGGTTTTATCATGCGACTTGTAAATAAATAGCATCTAATGTTATTTTAGTATGAATAATTTTTTTTGTCAATTCCTTACAAAATATTTTTTATTCATATGAATTTGAAACATATCATAATATACCATATATACATACAATACCCAATAGTAAAACTACTTATACACATACTTTAGAGTAGGCCTGAGAAATACATTAAATTTATATACACACATAGTATTATTAATTAAATATTGCTTCGTCTGGAGTTATGAGATGAAAAGCTGAAAAGGAGAGCATAAATAACCACTGGCTAGCGACAATATTATGTTTGATTTCTGCATAGGTCTTATATTGGACGTAACAAATACTTTCTTAAATTTTTGCGAATACTTGAACATACATTTTAAATAAAAAGATAAATAAAAAGATTTTTGGATTTTTAGTTCCCAACGTTATTGTTTTGAATTGTATAATTTTGTGGGAAGATACCGTCCAACTATCACTTTTTAGGCATCTAAAACCTTAGTCTCTCCCTTGGCCATGATTGCTGTTAAGTATTTGAAACGTCGGGAACCAAAAATCAAAATAAATGCGCGAATAAAATCCGATATAGTTTTATTCATATTAACGGCACAAATACAAGCAAATTTGTAGAATATAGAGAAATGTAGGTACTATAAAATAAACATTTAATGCGTATATAATGTACATTTGGATTTTATAATTACCCATAAACATTTGGAAGTCAGTCCTAACGTAGGCGAGGAAGACAGAACCGACAAGTTTACTTGATATAGAGATGATACAAAGCATGGAATCGTGGAAGCCGTAGTGCTTACTAAATACACTGATAGAGAATAAAGCTCCTGAAAAATATTACATATAAATAATAAAATCATAAGTTTATGTGTAAGAAAGTGAATATATGTAGTATATATATTTGAGTGAAATGCTACCGCGCATAAGAACTAGATCTGTATATATTATAGCAAATAAAGAAAAAAACTATAAGTACATATAATTATTATCGTTCGCCACCATAAAATTCTCCAGTCTTACAAAATATCCCTTAAAAAAAATTGTCGTCAATAACACGGCAAAATTCTATCAATTTACTATGAATGATAAATAGTTCTAAAATATAGGAAAATTCTGTCAAAACAGGTTACAGGTATTTTGCGGAAATTATATACAATGTAATTTGTACTTATATAATTATTTTACATATTAAATATTAAAGTATTTTTTTAGTAATGTTGCAAATAATAATCAATTTTATGTTTTGTGTACTTACCAACTGAGTGCAAAATGACACTATAAGTAGAGTAAATGCTGTATTTGAATGCGTCCCATTGGAGGCGATACCTCACGAACAGATATGTGATTAGTCTTTCACCTGTCAAATTAAAATAACCATGAGTAAATTTTTCATCAAGAAAATGTTAATATTACATAGATCTTTTTCTGTTTAAGCTTGGAAATGGTGTATTTGACTCCAAATGGCTATTTTGCCATTTTTGACCCCCCTCCCCTTTTCCCCCGCCTCTTACGTAAGACTATACTTAGTTTTAGAAAAGGATCGATTGCACTAAAACTTATAATTTGACGTATTTGGACCTCATGATTTACATAAGATCTATAAAATATCCCAATATTTATGTTTATTTATTGACGCTTAGTATGGAATGTCTGTTTTTTTTGTAGGTAATAACATTTATTTGATGTGCCAAAAATAGCCGCTCGTAACATAATTAGGTAGTTTCCTTTTAATTTATTAAAATATTTTACATTATTTAAAGTAAGCTCACCGTGATTTGGTCCATAAACGATTGCTACAACAGAAAGCGTAAAGATGATTTTCATTCTTAGATTCCCTTCCCTTTTCTTAAAAGCAACCTGCGTGGTCTCCTTTACTAATGTTACTAAATCTAAGACAGTTATTGGTTTGGTCTGAAAAGATGTTTTTTTTTTAGTTATACTATATTGACATGAAGGGATATGCATATAATTAGTATATTGTATAAAATACATAGAGGCATTGGTAACCCATTGATAACGCACTCGCTTGGGAAACCGAGTGAAAACGGGTTCAAATCCCGGGTCTTGCACCTCCGATATATTCATGGGCGAATCATTTCCAACATGATTACCACTTGTCTTAACTGTGAAGGAAAACATCGTGAGGAAACCTACATGTCTGAGAGAACCTAGCAAGTTTTCAAAAGACATCTGAAGTCCGCCAACCCGCACTTAGCCTGCGTGGTGGACTATAGCCTGATCCCCATCGTACTGAAGGGAGGCCCTTGCCCAGCAGTGGGACGTTAAAAAGGGCGAACTACAACAACATACAATATACATAAAATCCATGTTTATACATATGTAGATGCTAGCGACTTTACTCAGGTGTCATTCACCATACACTCGCTTGCACGCCAGCACGCACTCACGCATGCACGCATGCAGAGGCATACAGACTTTCGTCTTTATGGTAATCCAACGAAGAATTTTTTTTTCATTGCTGCGCGCAAATCTTTGAGACTATCACTCCGAAATGAAAAGTTGCGTTTTGTAGCCTTTTTATTGAGAAACATTATACACTATCTAACATCATGCCATGAGCCTTGAGAAGGAAGAAATTATACATAAATAAAACATGAGAGCGTAGCCACGGGAAAACGATAATACATATTATAATTTTTATTGTAATAAGGTTCAAGATGCATAAAAGAAGGACAGACTAATAAACATAATTTCGCATTTGTAATATTTGTTATGGCTTCACAATAGTTGTTCATAAAAACAAAATATTTTATCTAAAGCAAATATAAACATATTTTACATTGAGATAGCAACATGTACTCTCTTATCAATGCAAATATAATACCTTATGGAAAATACTATCGCATTAAAATATATACGAGAATGTTCAATCGTTATATGTAATTTGTGGGGAAAGTGTAAAATAAATGATTATACCTGCTTATTGTCTTCTATTCCAGGTTTCGTTTTCGTCTTCAAGTAAAAATATCCATAAATAAATGTCACCAAGTAGATACTTCCAGATAATGTAAAAATGCTATAATAACCCAAAAACTTAAGTAAAATTCCACTCAGTGCCGTTCCTATCAGTACTCCTCCTGTCAAGCACAAATTGACTAGACCGATACGGAAGGTCCTCGATTCTGCGTCGGTAATATCACTTACGTAGCTAAAAACTCCTAAATAAACCATAACCCATCCACCAGTAATTGCTGGGAATAAAGCTTCTAAGAACATCGTCACTTCAATTGAAATTTCATAGAAGAAAAACGTGCTGAGGATATTACTGATGCATACAAGGAATTCTCCAAATATCGGTAGCAATATACAAAGTTTCCTATTACCCGTTCTGTCACTCCATGCACCCATGATAATAACAAGTATTATCGGTATCGCAGTCTGCACTATACTTTTCCAAGCTTCAATCGATGATATGATTTTTTGTACTTCACCTTCATAAAGTGTGAAATTGCCTTCCTTCTGCTTAATTAAGGAGTCACAGATATCATTAGTATAATTCAGCCTGACTCTGCATGCTTTGTCCAAATTAAGATTTTGGACCACGAGCCTTGACAGCATTGATGATATAATTAGGCCTGCCATGATAGGCTCTACGGTTATATTTCTTTTTAGGTACCATAATTTTTGAAAGAAATTTTTGTTTTCGAAATTTTCTTTTCTAACATTTTCCTCTTTTAATGGTTGTGCTTCTGGACTTGAGTGATCTCCATTAGTTGACATATCTGCTAACTGAATGAGTGCTTTAGATAAACTAAACTGTACAATATGAATTTATCAGTCACTATGTCAATCTATCTTCACATTATATGGCCTTCTTAATGAATAAAAGAAACACAAAGCAATTTTGCAAGAAAGTTAACTGGGTGTCGCTTTATTTGCCAATATACTTTTTATTGTTTACATTCCACTTAAATATAATGATATAATTTTACTTACTTTATATTAGGATTTACTCGAATCATTTTACAATTTGGCTACCGTATTTAACTATACTATGAGGAAGTTGTTGTTTTGCTATTTATTTAAATTAGGTATATTTCATGTGTTAATGATTTTTTACATAAAAAATTCACCTTCAATTTCTTACAAGTCGAAAGTTGAAGAAGCTAGAGCTTTATTGCAATTTATAATATTTCTGATTATGAATATAAGATATAGGGAGTATTTTGCCATAAGATTTCATTTTTTACTATATAAACTGAAAAAAGCCAGCCTTATTACTTAGGGAATCAAATACTATTTTTGTAGTTGTACTCGAAATATATATATTATACATAATACATATAATAAAATTGTAACTAAACTGAATCTGTACATTCTATATTCTTTGGAAAATCTTATTGAAATAGACATTATTATCGACACATAGGCCGAATCTATAGTTTTTCATTTTTTGTCGTCTGTCTGTCTATCTGTTATCGCATCACGAAAAACCCACTGGAGGAATTTTGATGAAATTTGGTATAATGATAGCTGGTTATCTGGGACAAACATAACATATAGGATACTTTTCATTGCGGGAAAATATCTCATCTCTGAGAAATACTATATATACTAAACATTAAAAAGTAAGTAAAACGTTAAAGCGAGCGAGTCACTAGTTATAATATAAATGTATGTTATATAAAAAGTATGTTTATAGTGTACAGAAATCACATTTAACTCAATGATATTGTTTTCAACAGTGGCGAAAAGCTACGAGATTTAAATGATATGGTAATATTAAATACGATTCGGTCATATTTCATAATATGCTTTTGTGATGTGACGGAAATGAAACATGCTGTGAACGTCATTTATCATTGTTTTAACATTCAACTAATTACTATTTACATATGGGGGTTATTTAGCTACTATACTAACTTTGAGCTGATAATGGTATAAGTGAGATGTAAATTGTATCATTCTAAATGCTTTATTATTGTGTTTGAATGTTGATAAACGCTCGTATTGTCTTTGGAAAACGATATTAATGCACTAGTTATTGCACGTGACTTCCATCGCATAACTTATTTTTTTATTTTCTGTTTAATAATAAAACCTAAGCACTATCCAACTATGTAGATTTTTCCTTAAAATAAAAATTATACGTGTTCTTTAAAAGATATTAGTATTTTTTTAAAGAAAGCTTGGATAGTTTATTCTGCGGTGACACCTTCACTTATAAAATTAAGCAGCCAAATACGATGTAACTATTATATAATAACTATATCTAATATATAAAAATCTCGTGTCACGGTGTTTGTGGTCGCACTTTTACAAAACGGCGAGACCAATTTTAATGATTTTTATTTTGTATATTTGGTAGGTATGAGAATAAGTCGTAAAGTATTTTTCACCCTCCTACCCCCACCCCCCATTTTTAATGGCGATTTTAATATTTTTATATGAACAATTTAATATAAATACATAGCGATAACCCGAGCGAAGCAGTATAAGTAAAAATGTGGATAATTATTTTGAAATGACAGACAAATATCAATTTAATTTTTTATAACATTTTATATGAACTGGGTCTTGTGTACATATTCATTAATGATCAAAATATATTCCTTTGTTCAACATGTTTGACTTATAGTTCTACCTGACACAATTTTAAATGATATCATTAAATTGAGGCAAAAAGTTGCTAGAATTTTTTCATAAACTGTAGGCGGACTACAAAAGAATATGTTTTTTTAATATTTTATTAATTGGTTTAAAGCGCCATCGGTTCACAGAATGGGTCTATATTTTTAAAGAAAGTTCTTACATTTTCAAAAGATAATAAATATGTATTACTAGCGACTCACCCTCGCTTCGCTTAGATTCGTCCCTAGGAATGTTTTAACGGTTAGTATAAAATAGATAGACTATATATTTTATTTTATATAGCCTATAGTCTTTTTAAATAAATGGGCTATTTAATTCTAAAAGGATTTTTTAAATTGAATCAGTAGATCCTGAGATTAGCGCGTTCAAACAAACAAATAAACAAACACGCAAGCAAACTCTGCCTCTTTATAATATTATTATACAGATTTTTATGTTATCCAGTAGAAACATTAATTTAGTCAGCATGATTAAAATAAATAGTAATAGTAGATCTCCGCATGACAAGTTTCATTATATTAGGAAAATCTAATTTATTCAGTCATTTATATCGGAAAAATCATATTTTTACTCCCAATACTGGTGACCAACCTTATATTTACGTGAAAAATATAAAACGTTACAATTGTTCAGAGTATTAAAGTTTGGGTAGTCTTATAATTTGATAGAGTACTGAAGAAGAGTTATTCAAAGATTAAGGAAATGATATTGGAATTCTCGAGATGTTCAAGCTTAGGTTTTTAATTTAAATATTATAATATTTTAATATAGAGATGGACGAGGCATGATTAATATTGTTATTTTTTTTATATATTTAATAATAATATTTGTTAAAGTTATCAAGAAGGTTTCTCAATGCTGCATTTATACCTGATACTGGTTATACAATAAGATAAGAAACAAAATCTTTCAAAATTACGTTTTAGTAGGATAAAAGCCTTAATTATTAATTTGTATTGAGCCTTTTTTAACTTCCCACTGCTGGGCATGGACCTCCCTTCAATACGCTGGCCAAGTGTGGGTTGGCGGACTTTACATGTCTTTCGAAAACTTGCTAGGTTCTCTCAGACATGCAAGTTTCCTCACGATGTTTTCCTTCACCTTTAAGACAAGTGGTGATCGTGTAAGAAATGATTTGCACATGAAAATATCAGAGGTGCGAGACTCGGGATTTGAACCCGCTTCACTCGATTTCTCAAGCGAGCGCGTTACCACTGAGCTACCACTGTCTGATTTATTAATTTATTGATCATTAATATTTCAATATTTATAATCATTATTATTTTAAGTATATTATCTTTGTTTACTGTTTATCCATCGATATTGATAATTTTACTTTAGAGTGACTAATTTTAGAGTAACTAATACTAATAACTAACACTATGATATATGATATATTTATAGCCTATCGAAATCTATTGACCATAAGTCTAAATTATTGCTATCATTGACATTGCATTAATCATGACGAAATTGCGCTAAAAATTTATGATTTGTTGGTATAATATGTTGGCATCGATACAATTCATTGCCTATATTTGTTTGTTTCTGCCTTGTTTTATAGCATAGCCAATACAAATAATAGAATATATTATAGAATAATACTGTATGAGTTTTGAAACAAAGTCCAATAAACAATTATTATTATAACAAGTAAATATTATTTTTCTATCACACAATCCAGAACCACACACACTAGACTCATTTGTCGAAGACACGCGAACCAGTCTTAGACCTAATCTGGCGTCTGGTGAATGTAAAGATTTGTTGCGTAGTCGTGCGTAGACAATTCTGTAGCTATAATGTTTTTGTCTAAAATACTTATATATATAAATAACATGTTTAGCTCCGACACATAAAACAGAGAAAAAAAGAGAGAGAAATAGAGATATATATAGAGAGAGAGAGAGATGGAGAGAGATAGAGCGAGAGAATATTAAATTAATTTTAATTAATTATTTATCTTATCTTTCACTATAACATACGAGTACATTCGAGTATTATATATATATATATATATATATATATATATATATATATATATATATATATATATATTACGAGTATTTTCTATAAAACCACGTTATCGTGCAGTCTTTATATTTTTGCTTGGTACATCTTCGGTGCTTTGTTTCATGACGATGTTGTAGAAAGGTCCAAAAAATATATCATCATTGTACGAAATTGTAAATAATAAGTCATTAGATCAGTAAAATAACTACACACTCGTATATTCGTGAACATATTGTGTGTACAATGGTATTTCTAAAAAGTTAGTTAAAAAAGACCTATTTATTTCTATGTACTATAAACGATAAACCTAACTAAAACTATGTATTTATAAGTATTTTAGTTATCCACTCAGATACATTTTCGAAGAAATGAATCGCCATGATATTTACCACAAAAATTTAGAAAACAGAAAAATTTACGGACCGTAGTATGACAAAGGCTACTTTTTCCTATTGCATCTTTTTGTGGGATATTCGCTATTTTTATTCAGCTATTTACGGTTTCTAGAAAAATACAAATTAGTATATGTATACAATATATACCTATGAATAATTTAAACAACATAGCTATAGGAGGAAAAGTCACACAAGCGCTAAAACGAAATACAGCACCAGTAAATGAAGAAACAATTTTCGCGTATATTGTGGTGTAAGTTGGATGAAACACAAGGGCAGCAAGTATCTCAACCAGACTGAACAGCGAGTTCATTTTCCCTAGAAACAAAATAATTCATTAAGTAAATTCAACGTCGAGATGCAAGTGAAGATCGCCTGCAGGCTATTATTATAATTATATTTACATCATTGTTAGATACTTATAGTAATTTATAATTTTATTTAGAAAAGGGTAAAATTGTTTTTTTCATGACGTGACGTAATAAATTGTTTTTGGAAGTTTCAATTTGATATTAAGTGCTCTAATATTTGCGAAATATGCATTAATAAATGTTTATAAAAATTAAATTAATTAATTACTGTACTCCATGTTAGGTGGTTTATATATCAACTAGCATCGCCCGCGGCTCCGCCCGCGTTCAGATGACCAAAAACCAAATTCTTAGTTTTACATATTGCAGTTTTTGTATTTTTTCTCAGAAATGAGATATTTTCCAGCGG